ACATGATCACAGAACTGCCAAAACATATGTACAAAAATCCTCAATAAAACATAAAATATTAGAAAATCAGACACCAGACAAAGTGAATCACAGCAACGTCAGCAGCCGGTGTAACACTGAACTGATGCTGTGAAGCTACTAGTAGCAGGAGCGGAGCTGTGCCAAAAGCTACAAACACTGAACAGAAGGAGAGCTGCCATTGATACAGTTGCAGCCAGGCATGATTTAATGTTACACAATATAGTTTTAGGAAGTTGCTCAAAGTCTAAACTGGTACGTTGTGATTGTAAGGTGTAAAGTTTATCTTCGACCAAACGCCCCCCCAAAGGAATCCCAGCACCCCCCTTTTGTAAAAATTTCCGCCAGCTTCCCGTCTTGTCTCCTTTCCTTTGCCCAGCGCCACCTGTTTTTAATTCCTTTCTCAAGTAAACGTGTTTCTTTACCAGGTGAGACAAACTCCATCTTCTTTCATATCGCATTTGATTGGCTGCTGCGGCGCAGGAAATATGGCGGCCATCTTGGAGCGGTCGAACCCCCTACTTTTCTCAACCAAAACAGCAGAAGATGCCTCAGCACTGAGGGATATTGTTGTTTGGATCGATGGACTATTAATGTGAGGGCTTGACAGATAACATTTCACAAGTAAGATGGACATATTATTGTGTATATATTGTCCTTAGAATATTTCCTTACCTTATTTATGTCCACCAACGAGATACCAGCTAATATTAGCTATAGTGCTTGGTGTAATACTGGTTCAGCCCCGCTATGAAGGCTAACTGAGATTCCGTAAATCTAAAAAAAAATAATTATTCTCTAACATTGACTTAGATTATCTGACACAAGAGCCTACATTAGAAATGAAACAATGTGACATATATTATAAAACTTATATTATGTGTTATAACATTCACCAGCAAAGTTTACACAGGTGGCAAAGACTATTATTTATATGTAATTCTTTCACTCTTTCAAAAGTAAGATAGCTCCCAAATCTTCCGTTTTTGTTTTGAAGGTTTCATAAAGACAAGATGTGAGGAAGAAGTGTCATGTCGGATTAAAATTTTTTCACCCACATGCAGAACACAACTGAGAACACCGGTGTTTATTGTGTGTGGTTTATTGAAAAGAAACAAAACAGGAAGCTGACAGGTAATATGAGGGTCCTGGATCTCTCTCATGGCTCACACCAGAAATCTGAGCACAGGAGGACAGGGAGGGTTAGTTCAGGTTCCGTTTGGGATTTTCAGAAAACGGAGTAGGTGGACCTTATGTGGTTTTGGAGCGGGTCCGAGCCGGGAGGGGGGAAAGGGCATTTGGGGAGTCCAGGGCTTGACAGAAGGAAGTGGACGGCTGGAGAGGCGGCGTCAGAGGGCGGACAGGCAAACGGGGATTCCACTGCTAGGCGCACAGGCAATCTCGGATCTCTGAGGGAGAGGCACAAAAAGGTTCACTGAGAAATTCTCTAGGCAAGGTCAGAACAGAGGTGAAAACTCTGGGGCCTGAAGTACCGAACATAGGTGATACTCTGGCAGCGAAGTGACGGCGACTCCCTCCTAATATAGGAGCTGACGAGATTGACATCAGGTGCGTTGGAACCGGAGCTGAAGGCCAACCCTCCAGGCAAAAGCCTCAGGATGCCCTCTGGTGGACAAAAAGTGAGAGCAACCCCACCATCCCAAAACCCTGGATCCCCACAAGAAGTGGGAAATATCTTTAAAGAGAGACGGATTCACTGCAGCACGGATGAATCTCGCGTCGGATTTTGGACTCAATCTCAGCTGCTGAATCACTCTGAAGCTGGAAATCCTTGGCTGGAAAACAGCTGACAGATAATTTATATTATCTGTCAGCTTTATGTTAATCATTTATTTGTGTTTGTATTTTTATATAAATATGTATTGATATTACTAAATAATTTATTAAATAAATTATGAACGGCTGTGTGCTTTGTAAAGTGCTCATCATACATCGATATCAGAATATTCCATTCCTATTCTATTATTATAGCCATTAAGCATATTTTAAATATGATGAACTATGTATTAAAAACATACTTAAAAAATACAATTGTTTGTAAATGTAGCTTTTATAGATGTTTGAATATGGTTTCCAGTAACAAAGTGTGTTATGATCGATTAAATCCGCTGATACGTCATTGTGCCTGCTAAACACATAACGCTGAGTGGAGTGGTGGACCGCTCCAAGATGGCCGCCTTAAATCTCGTCAGCAACAATAGATGAGAGCGGTGCATGAGGCGTCTATTCTTATATTATGTCTATGGTGTTTACTGCCTATAAGGCAGGCACGTGCAGAGGGGTGGGGGATAGGGGGGTTTGAGCACCTGTCCCTTTTGCTCCTTGCCCCCAAGTGCCTTTTTGGTCAATTTTTTTTTTTTTTTTTGGTATTATTTCCTAAGCCCTCTTCTGACACATAATGACATGTACTAAAATTATTTTTTGTTAGGCTTTTTTTTGTACAACATAATAAGCCCTCCAGTCACCTTGTTACCTTTGACCTTTTGCCGGTCACGCATGACGCAATTGGCTCTCACACAGTGAGATAAGGCGGCTAACTGGAGCTCAACGTAGCGAACGTTCCAGATTACTGAACAGGTTTTGGTGAATTAAAAAAAAATGTTTTTGATGTAAAAAGTGGAGTAGACTTGCTACTTGTCAGATGACGGAAAACGTTGAACGTTGTATAATTTCTGCTTCAGCACTTTACACTAATTACACTAGGTTTGAATATTGCAATACTTTTCTATAACAAAATAGACCTGCAGAAAGAAATTACTAATAAAATATCTTACATATGCATAGTTGTAGGGTCTATATAAAGATTTTCCTTAGCTTTGATTTTATATCTCACAATTTTGTAATTTATCATTGTTTATTAAACTCTGAAAGCTGTGTGGCTTTGTTAATATTCTGTCCTAGAGTGCGGTTAGATGTACCCTTTTTCTTTTTTTTTCTTTTTTTTTGAGCACCTGCCCCTTTAGTGGTTTCTGCATGGCCCTGCTGTAAGGTAAGCAGCAGCTCCGCTAGCCCGATGTAAAATAAACATTACATTACTATACTGTTGGTTCAGATTGCCAGTTAAGCACAAATTACATTTTCTATCTGGTGATGTTTGATTGTTTTGTAAAAAAGAAAACGGTTGAATGCTGAGTGTGCCTGTAAGGTGGATGAAATAAACGTGCCAAGGTCTCCCCACAACTAAGATCCTTGTGTCCAATTCCTCTTTTCTGCATGGAGCTCATCCCATCTTCACACACAAAATAAAACACAATGCAGAGTCCATAGGGTGTCTTCCACCAGCTGCAGATCCAAAGAGGGACAGCCTGGGTTACATCACCATTCGCTCAATGCACCTCTGAAAGCATGACTACAAGTTATTCCTGCAGTTCATGTAGAGCTGCGCAACCAGAGCTAACCAGAGTGGTGTTTAAAGTCCTACCTTGATCAAAAACTCTGGAAAGAATCATAATTCCTCACAGGGCGTGGATGTAAATATACATACAGGTCAGGTCAGCCTGTGTCCAGTTTGAGTGAAAGGAGGCGCGTGGGATCCGCGCTAAGGTAAATTTAATCAAGCTAATGCAGCACGCGAGGCAACGCGCAGAGGCGCCAGCAGTGTGATTGGTCCGGCTTTAAATGCATAAACTTTAAACCTATCTTCTAACATATCTTTTAGGAATAAATCTGCTCCGTCGGTGAAGCACTCAGAGCAACAGAGGCGCTAGCAATCCGGCTTACAAAAAGAAAGAAGGAAAGAAAGAAAAAAGTTTTTGTTTTTATTTTCCTAAAAATATAAACAAGAAAGGCTTAGCCTGGCGGTGGCGCTAGTAAAGGATGGCGGGCTGCCAGGCCTATTATACACTGGGGGAAACCCTGAAATCCAAGCATTTAAAAAAAGTTATTACTTTTTACAATCCATGTTATAAAGTCATATTGATGTCCAATCATTCCCCCATCTTGCATTAGTTTTCTAAAACATAGCTGATTTACATTTTTCAACAAATATATTTGTTTTCATGTTTTCATTTTTTATATTCCAAACGGTCATTTAAGATTCCCCCCACCCCCCAGTTATGTATCTTTTTAACATCTGTCATTTATTTAATTTCTTTTTTTAATTTTCACTAAAACATTTTCTCTAACTGTACATATCCATACATCTTAATTTTGCATGTTCAAAACCTTTTGTCAGATGTCTTTATTCATTCGCCTTTTGGACCAAGCATCTGGATTTAGGAGCATATCGTTTAGTTAATCATCTATGTATTCGGATATCCGTCCTTATTATGGTGACTCTTTACCACCTCTGTGATCTGTCAGTGCTTCAGGTGTGTGAAACCAGGCCAGTGATGCCGCTGCAGGCGTTCGTCATCAGCTTTGTCTCTGCCTCCTTAAAAGGGTCCTGTCCCTTTAACCGCGTGCCGTGGCCGTACTGCTAATGCTCGCTCCGGGGGGTTTGTGCAGGACTCCCTCCCACTCCCAGCTGTGGAGCTATCACACAGCGGAGCGAGGCGAAGCTCCGGACAGCAGCAGGAGCCGCGGCTGTCGTGTCCACCCACCGCAGATCGGAACCCAAGTCTTTGTTAGCAGATGAGTTGCAGCGCAGGGTGATGAGATCTCGTCTGGATGTTAATTTCCAACGCGAAGAGCGCTTCATCCTTACGCTGCTGTGTGTTTACTTCCTGACGTAAGATCCTTCGCCAAAGCTGAAGTTTTCTGGAAGACTTAAAAATGCAGAAAAGGAATTTTATTGTATGGTTATTTGCTGCTCGGAACGAATTGTTCCAGGTGGAGACGCATCAGTAGTGTTTTCTAACTGCTTCCATCAAAATGTCTTGTCTTGTTTTGCCCACCTCCCCCGGCTTCAACCCACACCGCTCAGCATGTTCTGACAGCCCGTAGGTAATCGTTATCTCCAGACTCCGGGGTTACAGGTAGGGCTACCTGAGACGACCCGCCTCACTGCTGATCCCCGCGGATCAGCTCCGGGAAAGCGGCAGCCTGTGTGGAGCTCAGCGCGCTCCCATCCTCATGGGTCCCGCTGGATGTAAACCTCTGCCCGCCTGGGCCAGGTCAACATCTGGGTTGTGGAAAATATATCTGGGATTACTGGTGCTGCTTCATCTGGTGCTCCACGCCGGGACTTCGTCGACCCCCTGCGTTAAGAGCTGTTTTTCAGGGAAGTGCATCAACGGGAGCTGCGTGTGTGACCATGGCTGGGTCGGGGATCAGTGTCAGCACTGCCAGGGAAGATTCAAGTAAGTCCCGATGCCTCACTTAGTAGACTTTAAAAGTTCTGCTTTCATCCATATTTCTTTCATCCATGTTTTTTGACGCATGTCCAGCAGGCTGGACATGCGTCAAAAA